GGGAATTGGCTAAAAGAAATTCAATCCGGCACGTATCGCGCCACTCGGTCCGTCTCTTCTCGTTTGCCTTCCCTGGCCGTCTCGTCCGTCTCCTGCCCTCCTCCCGCCCCATTGGCTGTTGCTTTGTGGTTTCGTTTGAGCGCCCGTTGTCGGCAGTACAGTAGCGTGATAAATCCGACGATCGATGAAAGCTACCAGCTACTAGCGACGGGCGACTTCAATCCTAACCCTAGGCTCTCGATGTTTAGCAATAACGTGATAAACCCTAACCCTCGATCGCTGTTAACGCCGGACTCGTCTCCAGCAACACAACTGCAACAACAGCATATCTTGGCCGGGGTGCGAAGCACTGGTGCTGTGTTCATCACTCGACCCCGTCTCGACGAATATCTCAGCAGTGGTCACAATTCACACTCCGCAGTGGCAAGTCACAAGCCAGATACGGATAGACTCCGCGACTAAGGGGGGCTACGATGGTGTTGGCGAGATCTTGTGGAAAATAGAAGAAATAAAATCAGTCAGTCGTAAGGAGTGCACCATCGCATGTGCGTAGAGAGGCCGGGGCCTTCCCCCCCCCCCCCCCCCCCCCCCCCCCCCCCCCCCCCCCCCCCCCCCCCCCCCCCCCCCCCCCCCCCCCCCCCCCCCCCCCCCNTACGTGCACATCTAGCGTGCGGAGCACACTTCACAGCCACCGGTGTGTAGAACCCAAGCCATCATGAACGCCTATCAATCCTTACATCCAAAGGGCACAGCAGTCAGTGGATGATCCCTTCCTTCACCTGTCCAATGCGCAGAGTGCCCTCCCGCCGACCCTGGCCATCTCCGCCTGCCTGACGATCATATCGTCGGCGTCTTCCTCGTCATCGCTGTCCTCGTACAGACCCGGGTTGGCGCAGAACATGGTGCCCACCCTGATTCGAGACACGCCGTGTCGATTTGTGTGAACGCAGTTGCAGACCATTGGCAGGCAGAACGACCGCAGCAACAAAACAATAGAGATAATAACAACAACAACAACAACAACAGCAGCATCAGCAACAGCAACAACAACAATGACAACAACCTCAGCAACAACACAATAGAGATAACAACAACAACAACAACAACAACAACAACAACAACGGCCTGAAAACCAACCGCCTGTACCTGGAAAAATTTGCATCACACTGACCTCTCGCCACAGACGATCCTTTCTATCGAGTAGGGGTTGAGGCCGCTAGCGATCACAACCGAGGGGACCCCGCCAGACACGGCGCGAGAGGCGGCTCGGATCTTGGCGCCTGCATGCACGACGACGACGACGACGACAAAAAAAAAAAAGTGAACCAATCACGCGGCGGTGCACAGACAACGTCAACACTTCGGTTGCTACCTCCGGGCGTTTCGTTTAGGCGCCCTCTTAAGAATATCCTTCGGATAATTTCTTGTTGAAACTTCTTGATACGTTTATTATTGCGAAAGTAAACCGAACTGATCTCGATCCTCACAACTGAGTCCAGAGTACACTTGCACATACGCCTTCCGATCTATGTAATGTTCGGAATTTGCTGGACAATGTAAGTTTTCGTTTCGTGCCGCTCGCCAAGTCGTTGAAGGGTGAAACAGACGAGTCACCAAGGGACGGCGTTGTCGTTGTTTTCGATACTTGGCTCTTCCGGTTGCTTCAAACAGAAACAATCGCAACTCTGCATGCGCCAAGCCAACAGATGCTATCAGCGGGGACAGATTTGGACCAGCTAAACGACCACAGAAATACTGCCCATCCGGGGTTCGCCTTCATCAAGGATGTGTTCCTACTGATATTAATAATAGCACAGAGAGAAGCACGTTCGGAGCAAAGCCAAAGGTAGCCCGTGGTAAACAACCTGCAAAGCTCTCGACACGGTTGGCTGTTGCGGCAAAAGTTGCTAGCACAAGATCATATCATAGCCGTCTAAAAGCGAAACTGGCAGCACAATAGCTGCCTGCCATACGCTCTCGTGGTCGGTGTGCAGTGGGGAATGTTGGCGGAGATCAGCACGTGATATCAGCACACAATCCTGACACCAAAAAACCAAGGTGTCAATGCTTCCATTTTCGCGTTCTGTTGAACTTCGCCCTTACCCATGCCCCCGCGACCGCCAGCGCTCTTTTCGCCGATCATGAGCTCGTGCCGGTTGGGGTCAAAAGTGTGGAAGATCTGATCGAAAAAGAAAGAAAGAGTTGCTACGTTAGCGAGACGCACGTGAAGTAAGCTAAACAAAAAAACGGCAAGTAGAAAGGCAAAAAAAATGACGACAGGAACGAAACGGTAACAATTACGACAGGGGACAGAGGAAGGAAGAGTGGATAAACGAATCGCACCGTTCCGGGTCCAACATGTGGCACGAGATACAACACGATAAACATGGACTTATGTACACCATGCACACCTCGACGCGTAGACTACAGACGACGTCCGCACATTGGAGTTGGTAGCTCTCCTCTTCAACAAAAAAAAAACAGGAGACGCCTGCATACAGCATTTTGGTTTTCCAAGGTCGAACTCGGGTATGAATCTATCATCGCACAACCGACTTGGAGGCATCAGTGTCCAAGCATTCTCATCCTGTTGAAACCACAACTTTCGAGCAGGCTTTTCCCTGAAGAAGTCAGACCGCTGGTACCCACGGAGTCCAACTCTCGACACACAGCTACCACACGGACGTAGATAAGGTCGATGCCGACTACACAGGCAAACACCAGCAGCACGCACGTTGTAGGGGGAAAAAGGAGACCGACAACAGAGTGTATGCATGCATGCCTTCGACACCGACAATCATACAGCATTCGCGGATAATGTTCTACCCAAATCGATTGATTGCTTGATAGACAATGACGGTTTGGTGTCAGGTTGTCATGGTCCCCGGTTGAAAGCGGATGGACTATCGGCATGCTCCTTACGACTCTCTCAATCGTAAATGTCGTAGATGTCGTAGATGTCGTAGACTTACCTTTGCCCCTTCCTCGTCGGGGTGCTTGTTGTAGACGCCTTCCACGTCTGTCAGCAGGATAAGCATCTTCGCGTTCATCTGCGCGGGGAGAGAATGTGCGCCAAATAGTCCATTCGAGCGGAGGGTTGTTGTAGTTATGTTTTCGCTGTTGAATACTGCTGTAGAAGTTGTTCTCGTTCTTGTTGCTGCTGAGCAACCGCAAGGATGATGACTGGTCTGGTCCATCGAAATGAAACCTAGATAGCCTGGCGCGTCGAACACGCGGAAATAATACTGTTCCCCACCACGCGAGGTCAACGGTCTACCGACTACGGCGTGAGGTTTTCATGAGAGAGTACAGCGTAGTTGACCGGGTACGTGCCAGCCCCCTTGAACCGACAAAAAAACCCCGGCAAACACCTCGAATTTTCCATCTGTGTCACGCTATGTCACCGGTACTATACAGGGCCGGACAAATAAGGCTGCCTGCCCTAGAGAAATCGCTTGGCACGGATTAAGTAATCAAGTTTCTCGTATTCCGAATAGTGCCGGGTGCCCGGCTTAACGTCTGCGCCTTGCCTTGGACCACAGCGGCCTTTCATCTGGCCAGTAGTTTACGCAGGTTCTTCTAACCAAAGCAAACAAATGTTGAATCGGCTAAGTTGGGGTTAGGGTCTGCGTGCCCCCTGGCTGGTCATATTTCGTAAATAAACCCAACATTCTCTCTTTGCGTAGGCAATCCCATCGGGCCCCCTACTACACGGTATGCCCCTTCCTCCCTCCCCCCCACCTGTTCCGCCACCAGCGCGGCCAGACCATCGTTGTCGCTGAACATGCCGTCGGCCTCGTAACCCTCGTTTCCCGAAACAGCATCGTTTTCGTTGAGGATGGGAACGACGCCTAGCTTGAGCATGGTGGAGGTGGTGTACCGGAGGTGGCGACGCCTCTCCGGCGTGCGGAAGTCGAACTCAGTCACCAGCAGCTGTCGCCGGGATGAGACATGCGGCGTGTGTGTGTGTGTGTGTGTGTGTTTTGTTAGCATCGACCGCGCTAACCGGCTGACCAATGAAAGATGCCAGTCTCAGTGCGGCTGAAAACACAAATGTGTGTGTGTGGTTGAGTGTGAGTCCATTATTAGCATCGACCGCGCTAACCGGCCGACCAATGAAAATATGTCAGCCTCAGTGCGGTTGAAAACACAAAACACTTCTAAATGCCATGAACTGGTGAGTTGTGTGTGAGCCCATAGCCGTGCCTTTGTCGTATTCGTTAGATCGTTGACCTCGCATCCCTACAAAGCCGGGACGGCTGGGCCGGGGTGTACTCACGTTAAACGCATGCCGTATTCTCTAGACCATTGACCTCGCAATGCGGAGGCGGGGGGGCAGTGCAGCTTGAGAGAGAGCGCGAGGATAGATTCCGTAAGGTACGAGTGCATCGAGAAGAGGGCGCCCCGTCTTCAAAAGCGGTTTTTAGGTTAACGGGACTTCTACTAAGGGTAGACGTCGGCGGCAGGGCATGATCCCAAGAGGGTATGGTCGGGAATATAATTTGATTAGCCAGAGGACATTCTCGGACTCGGCCGGGTAGAAACGGGCGTCGGCCAATCAGATCGGTTTGCAAATACGCCGCATCAACGCGCATATGCGTACGCATGCACGCTTTCTTCTCTGCCGCCCACAACGCGAAGTCGCTGATTGGCCACAACAATATGAAGGCTTCTCGACGTGGGGCATTGGCAGCAAGAGCGACCACCTCCATCTGACCGACCGAGTCTCTCGTTGATCGGAACGGGCGACAAACTCCACACCCCAAATCGTGCAGGCTAGGAAGAATGCTGAAAAAGTAAGTGCGGCGCAACAAAGATTCCACCTTCTTCTCGTCCTACTCGAATGCTAGTATTCTCTACTAATGTACATTTCACATTTTGCCCGGTGGTCCCCACAACTGTTCCTTCCGTGGTGAATGCTTTGCCTCCAATGCTTCAGCGGACACCAAACGAGCGTCGTGCGCAAGGGGGACAAGTCACGCAAACACACAGACACCTAACAAGCCCCTTGATCGAAAACAAAAACTAAAGAAGGGGGGGGGAAGCAAGCCTCAACTCTTCCGAGGGCATCGCGGGGGAATCCGTGCCGTTACGTTACACACTGGCCGGGCACGAAAATCGCAGTATCTTCAAGTATCTCCATGCATTTGTTGCTGCAACAGAGAGGCGCTCGTGCTCGCCAGCAAGAACCCAAACAGACGCCCACCTGGCTCGTCGCAACATCGCACTGCGCGAACAGAGTCTCGTAAAGCGACATCAGGCCGAGCTGCCCAGCCGCCGCACAAGCGCTGTCGTAGTTCCTCCGCCCGGTTCCCTTCGGCACCTGCGTTCCAGTTCGGGAGGGTTTACGACTTAATTCCTCCGCCCGATTCCTTTTGGCACCCCTAATTTCGGTTCGGGACGGGCTGCGACAGCGACATGATTCGCCCGTGCAGTTCCCTTTGGCCACTTTAGCTCCGGTTCGTGAGGGGTTACGGCAACGGCATGATTCCTCCACCCGGTTCCCTTTTGTGTCGCATTGTGTTCGAGTTGGTCACGGCAAGGCTCATCGATACGTCAAGAATAAGGGGTCTAGGGCTCGGTTGAACGTACTGTCCGCGAAGCCCCCTTCCAGGTCTACATTCGGGTTACGTCACGACTAAGGTACTCCGGAGATTGCACCCTCTTGCCCGTTCCTGCGCCCGGCGGCGTTCGTAGATCGCAGAGCCTGCGCGGGGGTACTCCAAGGTCGGCGGAGGTGATGCTGCTGCCTGGTTTACGGGGTCTTCCGTCCCAGCGTCCCGAGATCGAAACCTTTCTATGCATTAAGCCCGCAATTCAATGCTTGAAGTCCGCCACTTACTTACCTCCGCGTGGCCGTCCAGTACTGCCCCCATGCTGGTGTGAAGAAGCTGTTGCTTGCGAAGCAACTATGACGCGTAACGCGGGCACGCGTACGAACAAGAGGGAAGGGCCATTATCGCTTGCTAAGGGCCTGTTTCCAGCAGGTGTACTTGACTTGCAGTGGAAAAAAACGACAAATAGCGCTCCATCGCCCTCGCAATGCCCACGGCCAACAATACTGCAACACTAGTCTACCAAAAACAACAGCAGCAGCAACAACAACACACCAACATAGATTACGTCGAAAAAAGCATAATACCTGTCCACATGACGGGCACCCGAAGAATCAAAACGAGAACAGAATCAGCCCAGAACCAAGCCAAGAAGAAACACAAAGAACGAGGACTAGCAATATTGCATGACGGCACGCGACGAAAGAGAACAAACTTACAGGAGTCCCCCGCCTCAAGCGTTTCGCGCTCGGTGATATGATGGCGTGGTCAGGTGAAATACCGACGTGCTCCGCCCCGGCTTTGCAGGGATGCGAGGTCAATGGTCTGACGACTACGGCATGCACGACTACGAGTACCCCCGCCCCCTCCCCCCTCCCTCAAACAACCCACCTGTCGACCGACACCGACGGCACCAGACGATACAAGGATCACCTCCTTGCCCATCTTCTTAAGCCACGCGCACTGCTCCACCACGGCTCCGATCCGCGAGAGGCAGGGGTATCCGCGACTGTTAGACACGATCGACGTGCCGGCTTTCACCACAATTCGAGTCGCCGCTGATTGAAGCCGTTCGGGGGGTGGGAAGGGGAGACACGCGATGGGGAATATCGTCGAGTTTAGCCAGGGGTCTTGAGGAGACCCGCGATGGTGGCAACGATTCAGGTTTAGCTGCTGCTGCAAAGTGCGTCTCTGCTCCTTCGACCATAGCATTGCGCACAAATGAGTTTTGCGGGACTGCTGTCCCACCACCCGTCCCCTGCAGGAGGCATCCTCGCTCCAAGAAACCCTGTTGACGTCGTCAGACCCTGCCACTCTCGCTCGGTTGGAATCGGCGGAATAAGCTTTCCGCTCGGCGGAGCAAGATCTCGGAGGCGCGACGCCCGTCCGGGCCTCCGAGAACTTGCTACGCCGAGCCGAAGGCTTGCTCCGCTGATTTCAACCGAGCAATAGTGACAGGGTTCGACGTCAACAGGGTTTCCTCAACATAGGATACCTTCTGCGGCGGACGGGTGGCGGGTGAGGTGCCGTTGAAGCAAAAGGCATAGCAGCACTGATCGCACTGCTGTAAGTATGCAAATGTGGGTGGCACCGACAACATGTAGATGCGTTACGTCCACAGACGTGTTGTTGTGCGAGGTAGTACAAGGTGTGAACAGATGTTGAGTCGTGTCGACCAGCAGTAGCTAGTTGCGGAGGCTCAAAAACTGCAACAGAAGCAGCAGCAGCAGCAGCAGCGGCAGCAATATGAGCAGCAGCGGCCGCACCGGCAGCGCGAAGAGCGAGAGTCACTCACACATGAGGGCGGCCCTGCTGTGGTGCACAGGCCCGGACTTTCCGGACCGGTTGGCAGAGGGCACCTCCACGACGGAAACCACACCGAGGCCACAAAACATCACAGCAGCAGCAGCAGCAGCAGCAGCAGCAGCAAGGTCAGACATCAGCAGAGACGTAAAAAAATGGCCGCGAGGGATAACGTATGCACATATCAAGTTCAACAAGGATCCCAATGCAGAGGCTGCTGCTGCACCAGATACTACAGCAGCGAAAACATGATTACCGACATCAAGGACACCACAGGTCCGATGGCACAGCAGCAGCAGCACCAGCAGCAGGGGGAAGCCAATACTACAACAATGACTGGGTCTAGGAGCGGCGAACGGCAGCTGTTCACACGTGCAGATGTGGTGACCATCACCCCGACCAGCCACTAGCTGACAACGCACAGGCTCATCTATTTAAAAGGTACATGCATCTCGCCACTTTTGACCCGGCCGTTTGCACTCATGTCCTGGTGTGAAACTCGTTCAACTCGAAGCCGAACACATCCACCAGACTGGATGACCAAGTGCGGGGTGGTTTGACGTGAGTACCGCTGCCATCACTGCTGCTGCTACTGCTGCTGCTGCTGCTGCAGGACGGCCCGACTTTTGATTCACAGAAAAACAACGGTTACATATGTATGCACCACAACACGTGACATCGAAACACACCAACGACAACACATGGAGAACATGTGCGGCAGGCGTGTTCGTCAAGCGCGTGGTACAAAAAATAAAAAAGGAAGGACCATCTCTCACCGGTCCAAGCTCCGGCGATGGCGGTGCCGACTCACCAAGGCCTCCTCCCATCGCGGGAAGGCTGCCCACCATCATGTTGCCGTACAGCTCCCCGCCCCCGGAGACAATGCTCGACATGTCGGCCACGGGGACGGTCGTAGTGCTGGTGCCCGCGGTTGTTGTGCTGCCCGCTGTCGACGAGCCGTCGACAGATCCGCCGCCACCGGCAGTAGACGCAGACTGCCCGATGTTGACCGGGGGGAGGCTGTTGGATGGCGGAGGGAACCCCGACATGATGGTGCCTGCTGCTGTGTGCTTGGTGGGTGTGGTGGTGTGTCGCTCCTGCGTACCGGTGCGACGGCGTTGCTGAATCCTGGGTTGTACGCCCGACGCATGCACACGCGCGAGAAAAAATGGAGGGTGGGAACAAAGCTGCTGGAGCGATCGTGGACTGGGAGGCTAGCTTCGGGCAAGCGAAGTGGGGAGCAAAGCAGGTGTTTCATAGACTCAGCGGTCAGCGCGTCGATGTTCAGTCTGGAGATGTCCACGAGTGTGTACACCAGCAAAGGGTGTTCAACATGTTACACCGCACACCCAATCACGATCCGACCCACACCAGCAACCCCATCATCACAGCAGCCGCCACGAGGATGCAGGACCAGACACTAGCACGGCATGTTCGGTTGGTAAGGGTGCTACATCCGTAAAATCAGACAGAATTCGAAGGATCCACCATGGGACGGGAGGTGTGTCGCATGCAAAGGCCGGTGTGCTGCACATACTGCAACTGCAGCGGGGACCGCTAAACCACGTGTACAACCTGTACAGCTGTCCCCTGTTGACACCGTTCCTTTTCCATTAGAGGCAATTTTCATACGCGGAATCCAGATAGATTCCTCACCTTCAAGTGACTCGCTGTCTAGATCTTGTGTCTGACGAGAGAGGAAGAAGAAGCACGTATGGTATTATGTGCCGTCGGTGGCGGTGTGTGATGTGACGCCTGGGGGAGACGCAGGATCGCGGGGGAGGTGTGGGGGGTTTCCAGCCGGTTCTCGAAGCGAGGTCTTCGAACCAACACGGATTGTAAGGTTCCGATCTCTATCTACACATCTAGAGTACCTGCGTATGTCCTTACTCTAAAAAGGTACACTCAAATAGCTGGCCCCGAGTCTACAAGGGTCCGATGAGGCACGGTTCAGACATATCTCACGGATATCGTGCACGTACAACACAGCAGGAGCCATGCTTGCGTTCTTCTGTTGGTGCTTCTCAAGCGGGTTAGCTCCCAATCTGGTTTGGCCACATCACAACACCAGCGAACGGTCGGTTTGTGTCTACATACATGTACATCAAGATAGGAACCATTGTACGTGCCTTCCCTCACGGAGTGACGTGATAAGTCCTGCTTACCGTCCTACAGTAGTGTATGTTGACTGCTTAATAGCTGCCTGAAATTGAGCACCCGTTCTTATTTTCAAAGTTCTTATTTCGAGCAGGCATATCCTAATGATACACGGGGTTCTCGTTCTTATTTCCACGCCGAGGGCCCAATTCGGAGGACGTTTTTTTTTTTGGGTGGATTCAGTCTGACACTTGATTGAGAGAAGCGTGTTCATAAAACAGATTATTATAATACCAGAACGTCGCTCAACAGAGACCTCTGGAATCGACGTACCGCAGATCACGATAGGGTAGGTTTAAATACAGACGCGACATCACCTGAAAAAATGACGCATCTGAGCAAACACCTTGAACCATTTAGAGGTCCAGAAGGGTCACGTCCGGCATGATTGCCCTCCCTGCTCTATCTAACGCCCGTCTTAGCTATACACTACGACCTTCACCCTGCTCTTCGAATGCCGGACCTCCTCCCTGCTCTACGACACGCTCCGCAAAGTCCACCACCCTACCACCGCACCCGCATCTTCACTGTGCTTCTCCAACGGCATTCATGCGGCGCGTCTTTGGTCTACATGTAGCTCGAAATGCACAGGGTAGTCGTAAAGGTGGCGGGTACGCTCCTGAGACGGCCGAGTGATCAGCTCACCAAATCAGCCCATGCTCAGTTTTACGAGTACTCCACATGCAGCAACGATCTGTCAAGAGCAGCGGGTTTAAACGCCTGAATTTGAAAGCTGGTGTGTGCGACGAAGGAAGAGGTGTCGGAAAGCTTTCGTCGCCCCCGCGCCGACTCGATGGCCTCCCAGTCTGACTTCGTGGGCAGTTGCCAGCAATGACATGTTCTTTGATGGCATCGAAGTGTCGATCAAAAGTTGCACCTCCTTTCAACGTTGACAGCTGGTCGAGCTCTTTCAATATTTCAAGGGGTAAAGACATGGCTCTCGTGCATGGCACGTGGCAGGCACCCCAATGACATGCGACGAAGGACATGCCTTGTACAGCAAGCTAAGCACCTACCCCCCTCCGCACCGACCAAGGCAAAATGTGAACGCGGGGCCGAGTGCAAACACCGGGTTTATGAAGTTGCGGAATGTCTGTTGTACAAGGAGAGGCGATATTGCGTGACTGAGCCTTGGGACAAGTATAAAGAAGATACAGGGAGATGTTTGAGGCATGGAATACCAACTAGGTGTACTGGAGCATAGAACGTGGAATGAAGAGGCGGGATGTGATATCGATAGGATAGATAGGCTAGGGGAAAACGTTTTGAGACACCTTTTGTTGGTGAAGTAGGAGGGAGCGAGTGGCCATCGGTCTTTGGTCCTGTGGGAACAATACTCCGTCCTCTCGAGGACGCGTGGTCAATGGTCTAACCACTAAGATATGCAGAACATAAGAGTACGCCCCGCCCCCGCCCCCTCCGCACCAGTATTATTTGAAACGGAGATCCCCCTCCTCGTCGCTGATCTGAATCTGCCGGTGGGTGGGGTCACCGGACACCCCATGAGTCACCCCTCACCACCTTCATGAGTTCCATCTTGCAACTGCCACTTTTTTGGGGTTCTGTTCTTGTCCGAAGGCGCTTCGTCAAACCACAAGTACGGGTTCTTGTTCGTAATACCACGTCGGAACTGAGCTCGTGTTCTTATGGCCAAGAATTTTGAATTATTCAAGGCTGCATTTCTTAACTGCTAAGTTCTGAAGTGCGAGCGCCGTCTGTACGCATAGGCATCGTTAATAGTTGATCCCAAACATGAACGTAATTACAGTACCTGACGGAGTAATACTTGCGGAGAATGCAGTGAGACAGGGAAGGCGCTGCATTTTTTTTCTTTTTTTTTTCTCCCATCATTGGACTCTGTCGTCTGCCCCTCTGGACCCTAACCTCCACTTCTACTAGCTAGACGACCCAACCGGGGTCACATACGAGGGGGGGGCTGGACCCCCTCCTGCGGTTCCTGCCTGAAGTATTTTTATCGCGAGAAGGGTACAGCAATCCCTTTCCTCGCGACTTACGAAGTCGATTATGGTTTTATTAATAACGAGCTTTTCAGCGCGTCGCTTTCATCCAAGACCAGGATTTATTTAGTGAGAAAAAAACTCACTCTGCCGGGACTCGAACCCATGACCTGGCCCTTAGTAGGCTGCGAGGTTACCGACAAGACCACCGCTGCGCGGTCAGCGCCGCTGGCCAGACGTACAAGCAGACAGATCGGTTTGTGTACCTCGGACGTACCATCTGCGCGGATGGGAAGGTCGACCGGGAGATCACGAGCCGCATCTGCCGAGCATGGAAGTGCTACCGCCGGAACAGCACTTCGATGTACGACAGGAAACGGGCCAACCGCCAGCTCAAGATCCGACTACTCCAGGCTGAAGTGGTGCAGACCCTCCTATACGGGTGCGCCTCGTGGAGCCTGGCAGCGGAGCACTACACCAAGCTGAATGGGACCCACCGCCAGTTCCTGACACGGTGTATCGGCTGGAGCAAGC